CTTTTCTCTTTAGATTTCTTTCTTTCTTTTTTCTTTTCTTTCTTTCTTTCCACTTTGATTTTTCTTTCTTTCTTTCTTTCTTTCTTTTTCTTTCTTTTTAAGATTTTTCTTTTTTCTTTCTTTCTTTCTTTTTCTTTCTTTCTTATTTTCTTTTTTCTTTTTCTTTCTCTTTATTTCTTTCTTTCTTTCTTTTTCTTTCTTTCTTTCCACTTTTTTCGAACTTTCTTTAATTTTTTCTTTCTTTCTTTCCACTTTTTTATTTAATATCTTTCTTTCTTTCTTTCTTTCTTTCTTTTTTTTCTTTCTTTGATTTATTTAATATTTTTTTCTTTCTTTTTTTCTTTCTTTTCTTTCTTTCTTTCTTTCTTTCTTTCTTTCTTTCTTTCTTTCTTTCTTTCTTTTCTTTCGAACTTTCTTTCTTTCTTTCTTTTTTCTTTTTTCTTTATTTTTTTTTCTTTCTTTCTTTCTTTCTTTCTTTCTTTCTTTTTCTTTCTTTTTTTTTTTCTTTCTTTTTTCTTTCTTTCTTTTCTTTCTTTCTTTCTTTTTCTTTCTTTAATTTTTTCTTTCTTTCTTTTATTCTCTTTCTTTCTTTTTTTTCTTTCTTTCTTTCTTTTCCACTTTTGATTTTCTTTTTTTTTTTCTTTCTTTTTCTTTCTTCTTTTTTTTAATTTTTCTTTCTTTTTTTTTTCTTTTTCTTTCTTTTTTTTCTTTCTTTCTTTGATTTCTTTCTTTCTTTCTTTTTTTTTCTTTCTTTCTTTCTTTCCATTCTTTCTTTCTTTCTTTTTTTTTCTCTTTCTTTTTTTTTCTTTCTTTTTCTTTCTTTTTTTTCTTTCTTTCCTTTTTTTGATTTATTCTAATATTTTTCTCTCTCTCCTTTCTTTTCTTTAGATTTCTTTCTTTCTTTCTTTCTTTTTCTTTCTTTCTTTCTTTCTTTCTTTCTTTCTTTCTTTCTTTCCACTTTTTCTTTTTCTAATATTTTTTCTTTCTTTCTTTCTTTCTTTCTCTTAGATCTCTTTCTTTCTTTCTTTCTTTCTTTCTTTCCACTTTTTGATTTCTAATTTTTTCCTTCTTTTCTTTCTTTCTTTTCTTTAGATTTCTTTCTTTCTTTCTTTCTTTTTTTTCTTTCTTTCTTTCCACTTTGATTTTTTCTAATATTTTTCTTTTCTTTCTTTCTTTTTTCTTTCTCTTCTTTTTTTCTTTCTTCTTTCTTCTTTCTTTCTTTCTTTCTTTCTTTTTGATTTATTCTAATATTTTTTCTCTTTTCTTTCTTCTTCTCTTTAGATCTCTTTTCTTCTTTCTTTCTTTCTTTCTTTCTTTCTTTCTTTCCACTTTGATTTATTCTAATATTTTCTCTCTCTCCTTTCTTCTTCTTTCTTTCTTTTTTCTTTCTTTCTTTTTCTTTTTTTCTTTTCTTTCTTTTTTTTCTTTCTTTCTTTCTTTCTTTTTTCTTTCTTTTTTTCTCTCTCTCCTTTCTTCTTTTCTTTAGATCTCTTTCTTTTCTTTTTTTCTTTTTCTTTCTTTCTTTCTTTCTTTCTTTCTTTCTTTCTTTCTTTCCACTTTGATTTATTCTAATATTTTTCTCTCTCTCCTTTCTTCTTCTCTTTAGATCTCTCTCCCTTCTTTCTTTCTTTCTTTCTTTCTCTCTTTCTTTCTTTCTTTCTTTCTTTCTTTCTTTCTTCCCACTTTGATTTATTCTAATATTTTTCTCTCTCTCCTTTCTTCTTCTCTTTAGATCTCTCTCTCCTTTCTTCTTCTCTTTCTTTCTTTCTTTCTTTCTTTCTTTCCACTTTGTGTTATATTCTAATACATTATTTTCTCTTGCCTTTCATCTTCTTCCCTTTAGTTTGATCCCTCTCACTTTTTTTCTTTTTTCTTTCTTTCTTCCTTTCTTTCTTCTTTGTACTTTATTCTAATAGTTTCTCTCTCCTTTACTTTCTCACATGATGCTTTCTTATTGTCTTTGTATTTGTAAACTCTTAAAAAAAAAAAAAAGTATACCTTTCTTGTTCAAAAATGCCCAGAAAATTCAACCCAAAAAGTCGATCTCTGGCACAATTTCCAAAAACCATCAATTATATAAGACATTAGCCTTTGCCAATTCTGTGAATAGTGTTGTTCAGTCAGGTGAAAAATTCCTTTCCCTATTAAAGATGGAATTGAAAGTTTTAGATACTTTCACAATTCTTTCTTCTCAGATAAACAAAAAAAAAAAAAAAAAAACACTCAAGTAAAAACAATAACTCAGGTAAAAAACAAAATGAGAAATTTACATAAAGTATCTTAAATCTTATTTCCTATATTTTCAATTCTGTATTTGCATAAAACTGGAGTTTTATGCAAATTATTCAAAACTGGAGTTTTATGCAAATTATTCAAAACTGGATTTTTATGCAAATTATTCAAAACTGGAGTTTTATGCAAATTATTCAAAACTGGATTTTTATGCAAATTATTCAAAACTGGAGTTTTATGCAAATTATTCAAAACTTCTCAGATAAACAAAAAAAAACAAAAAAAAACACTCAAGTAAAAGCAATAACTCAGGTATAAAACAAAATGAGAAATTTACATAAAGTATCTTAATTTACATTATTCGGACTATTGTCCTCATCTTTGTCACCATATTTATTACGTTTCAACTATTGTACGCTCCGGCCTTCTTCAGGTGGTTGGAATGTCTAACTGAACTCTTTATTTCATTCACTGGGGTAGACTGTTCTAGTTCCACATGCCATGTTTTAATGGATGTCAGTTATCAGTTATAAAGGTTAATTTCCCTTGAAATTCTAGACTGCCTTAGCCTGGTAGGAACTCAACTCTTTGGTCCCTGTCACTGGATCTAACAATCCCTTTATCCACTGTGCTATGTGGAGAACTTTCAGAGGGAACTTAGCAGAGATAACTGATAACTGACATCCATCAAACATGTTTGGGAACTAGAACCATCAAACCCAGTGAACAATCGTGAAAAAAAGATTCAGGTTGAAATTCCGACCACCTGAAGAAGGCTGAGCATACAACAGCAAAAACGTTGTGATAAATATGGCAACAAAGATGAGGACAATAATCCAAATAATGTACATAATACCTCATCTCAGAAATATAGACAGACTCTAAAGTATCTTAAATC